TTTGAATTAAAAAAAAAAATTGACGAAATATTTGTTATAGGCTAAATAATTGCTAATTTTTGACAATCGTAATTTTTTTTTTCTTGATAAATTGTAATCTTTACTCGATAAATAAAAATTTTAGCTTATGCTAGCATTGAATGAATAATGAATAAATTATGATTAATAAAAGATCGTTTTATACATCTTGCAAATGAATCATAGTTTCTATCATACTTTATAATTCAAATTAATTTCTATTTTGGAATCATTTATAACTTTTAAATTAATGAGAAAAAAAAAAGTATATAAATATGTTAACAAAGGTAGGAAAAATAGTGCAATTTTTTTTTCCTTCAAATTGATTCATATTGAATGTAAATGATTTGTTAATTAAATGATCAGTAATATAGATTGATATTTTTATAATATATTATGCATGAAATATAATAATCAACCAGTAGCAATTATTATTTTTTTTTCGTTCCGTTATCAAATTTACAATCTGTTAATTTAAAAGTTATAAAAAGAAAAAAAAATTAATAAGGCGTGTGGAGAAGGAGAAAAAAGCTGAAACGAAATGTAAAATAATACTTTAAAATATATTTCTTTCACGAAATATTTGCGCATATATTTTAATTTTTTTTTTCTATTGAGAACTAAATAATTTTGCTTCAAAAAAAAAAAGAAATAATAGGAACGAATGATTATTTGATAACAAATCATAATTTCTCGATTTTTTTTTCTGTTTTAATTTTTACTGTATTGATAAATAGAAACTACAGCATTAGTGTACAGTTATCAAGTATGATATAAGTAATAGCTGAATTATCAAAATTATAGCAATAATGATAATGATATGTGATAATATAATATAATAAATGATAAGAACAGTATGATATAATGATAGTATCAGATGATGTATTTCGTCACAGAATAACAAAATGATCAAAATGATAGTAAACAGTGCTAATATTTTGATAGTAGTAGTGTCATCCACTTTTTTTTTTATTAAAGCAGTATATAAAAATAAAGAAATTTAGAAATAATTAATTAATCGAATAAATAAATTAGACAAATATATTTTATATGGCACAGCTTTCCTTACTTTTTTCGCTTTTTTAAAAAAAAAATGGTTAGTTGTTAAAATAAAAATGATTTATTTAATACTATTGAATGAGAGAGAGAGAAGGAAAGAAACGGGAAGGATGTCTTGGAAACCAAGAAATGATAATAAGTGCTTATTCTGTTACTAACCATTAAAATTATCTTTACTTCTAGCTTAACAATTTCAGAAATATGAAAAAATTGGATGAAATTTGTTCTCGACTTCATGAAAAACAAAAACAACAACAACAACAGCAGCAACAACAACAACAACAACAACAACAACAACAACAACAACAACAGCAGCAACAACAACAATTTAGCAGTATGTTACGTCAAAAAAGACGCATAAAAGATAATTTATCAATTGGAGAAATAACAACATTAAAGGTTAATTATTTCTATTATAAATTGATTTTAAAAATTATTACGCATAATGTTTTTATAAGCATATGATTTGCTTGTAATTAAAAATTGATAAATTTTTGATTGGTAAGAAATTCAGTTTATTATTTTACATATTCATTACTGATATAGAAATGGCTGAATACTCATTCATGTAAAACAAATTTATTGCTATATCAAATTTCTTCAACAGAAATGAAATTTGAAAGAAAAGGGTTTTTTTTGTGATTTTTACCAAAGAATTGTCAGTGCAGTAATAAATTTATTCTACATGAAAGAATAATTATTTGATTGTTTAATCAATGAATTTAATCAAATTTCATTGTTTTGATTTAAAAAATTAAATATGTAAAATAAAAAAGTAAAGTTTATTTTTTATTTTGTTTCTATTTGCTATTAAATATTATTTTTAGTAATTTTATTTCAAGTGATGCTCTTCGTTTTTCTCATTCTTTTTTTCTTGTTTTATTATTATCTTTCATTTGTACAAATTGATGGAATATTTTTGAAACATTTCTATGAGCAAATTAATTCGCTGATCAGTTTCACAAAGTATGATCGATCAATCATATGAAAAATTAATGAATGTAATGAAAATGATTTTCAAATGTCATTTTTGTCACACGAATTTTTACCAATATTTACAGTATGATGCTATTATTAATGAATTGGTAGATCTCATCATTAAAACTTTATTAGTAGAAGAAATAATTTAAAGTCTAACTTTCTTTTTAGTAAAAAAACAAAAGAATATGAATTGTTGGAGAAATTGAAGAAAGTGAAAACAAGCTTTTTTTAGGCTTATAAAAATGATTCAATAAATCGAAATGCTTCAGTAAAATTACCAAAAATTGAAACTACTATCAAGAATATGAATAATTGCAATATGGTAAATCCTTTGTAAGTTTTCATTTTTTTTTTTTTTTAAATAATGGCTAGTAAAGTATGATTATTTTAAACTGAGCATTTTTCGAAATTTTATTCATATGCTAATTTATAGCATATCCAATGCTAATCTCGAAAATCACGAACGTAATGCAACTCAAGCATACTTAACCATTCCAAAAGTAAGTAATTTGTTTTATTTTCTTCTTATAATTCTATTATTTACAATAAACTATTTGATTTTTACATTTTATGCTTATTTTCTTTTTTACGGTCAAGATTGAATGAGTGAATTTTTTTTTTTAATTTTTGTTTTGTTAATTTTTGTTGGAAAAAATTACGATTATCTTCTTTGTGATTATTATCCTTTATTAAGTTTATTAAAGATTTTTTTAAACACTATAAAAAATTACATTCACATACCATTTAATAATTGAAATATTTATTGGTAATAACATAAAGATATAAATATATATGTATGCTGTTTGTTTATGCACTTTTCTTCGAGCCTTTCTAAAATGCTTGGCAAAAAATATTAATTATTAATTTGTTTCGTTTAATTTCAGTCAAGTTTGAAAACAGGAAAAATGTAAGAAAATTATTGCTTTTTTTTATATAAAAAAAAAAATTTGCCATTTATAATATTTTCAGCATATACCAATGATAACATCAACTATGGAATCAATTTTACCAACAAAAATGTTTATTGCATTTTGCAGTCGACCATTTTGTAAATTAAAAAAACGTCTTCATTATCACTGCAATTTTTGCCAACAAGGATTTAGCCATGCTGATCGCTTTTTGCGCCATTTTCAAAAGCACTATGCATTATTTCTTAGTTCATCAAATTTAAAATATTTTTTAAATGCTAAAAGAAAGCAAACAATGAAATATTGCAACGAATGGCTAGCATTTTCGCATTTAATTTCATCTGAAACAATTATAAATGGAAGAAACTGTGAGCAACAAATGAAGAAACCATTGAAATTTATTGATTGCACCAATGAAACAACCAATGATGTAATTGGGTATATTATTCACTAAATACTGTTTTGAAAAAAATTTTGTTTTGAAAAATACTATTTTAAAAATTAATTATTATACTTTTTTCTTAGATTATCTTAATACATATTTTACAGTGCTATAAATAAATTTTAGTTATAGATTTCATTCTCGTTTTGTTTTCCATAGACAATATAGTGATAATAACTATTACACTTCTACTACTACTACTAATAATAATAATAAATAATGATAATAATAATAATAATAATCTTTTATAGGTCATCATTTAATCATCATACTAATGAGATGGAGCAACAGTTATTATATAATTGTTCTAAATGTGGTTACAAAGCAATTGACAAGACGAAAGGATTACTTCATTTGATGTTGCATGATAAAGCTCATAAATTAAAGCTAAAACATATCACACAAGAATCTAACACTATTCATTCATCTTAAATTCAATGTGATTGCAAATAGTTTGTGATAATAATTTTATATCTAAATAATTTTATAATTGGTAATTTAATTAGAATTTTCATTTTCTCATCAGTCTATTCAATTAAAATTTTTATCTAATAAAATATTATGCATTAATAGCAAATGCACTAGTATGATCCTACTGGCATATTCATAAATTTGCTTTTAAAATTTATAAATAAAAACGATAATAATATGATATGCAGATAATTTGTGATGATAGTTGCAGTGAATTATGTGCTGAAATTTTATAATTCAAAATATAAAATAAAAAAAAATAAGGTAACATTATCATTTCGTTGATAAACTATTAATCAAAAAAAGAAATTATTTTGAAAATAAAATTAATCATTTTACGATAACTTCTTGTCTTTAAAAAACTTTTACTCCATTGGATAATATTTTAATATTTTAAAAACATTATTATCTCTTATCTTACTTCCAGTTATTTTTTTAGTTATTTTTTCTTATTTATTTGAATTTCAATTATATCATTACAGCTTAATCAATTAATAAGTGTACAATTTAATGTCTTTTTCTTTTTTTTTTTTTTTTTTGTAATTTTTATTTTATTAACTTACCGAGAATTCCCACTCAATTATTTGAAAAGTGTTTTTAATAAACGCTTAATATTGAAATAATTTTGTAAAAATGTTTCAAATAATAATATTTCTATAACATATATTGTAATCGATTGGCTGATTGTTAATTGATTGATTGATTGTTTATTTGATCAATCGTATATATTTGGGCATATAACATATTGAAATGCTTAAACTTTTGTGATAAAAAATTCAATGATAATTGCAAAATTTCCACTTTTTTGTTTACATATTGATATTTTTTATAGAAATGATATATAATGATATGATGATGAGAGTTATATACTGATGCATAAGGCATACACACATACACATACACACACACACACACACACACACACACACACACACACACATACACATACATTGATTAGCCAACCGCAGGTGTTTGTCAGTAGAAGATAATCAGCAACGATTTATCATAGACGCATAGAGATAGAAGTGATAAGGCGCTAATTAATCATTTGATCATTAACCTGCACCTTTGGTTAGACAGGCATCTTAGCATCTTCATTCAGTCATCTCCAAATAATCATGATGTCTACTTCATCACTGTTATACATTTATTTATTGTTCGCTTTTTTCTCAAAAGGTTAGTTATTTAATCAATAATCAAATAGTTAATTAGTAAATAGCACTTAAGTTTCTTTTTTTTTAATGATTAGAAATATATAAGTAATCAATCAGTTGTGGTGTCATAAGTTGTAACATAATTAAAACTCAATTATTATTAGTAGCATGCAAAACTAAATTATTACTGTTAATTTATTCATCATTTTTTTTTTTTTGACAATTTATTAATTCATTATTTAGAAAAGTTTAAAAAATTCTAAAAATTAATCGTTCAAAAATATAATAATTTAATTTAAATGAAGCTTTACTTTTCTTCTACTACTTTCTCCTACTAATTATTTTTATAACCAAATGATCAGAATTAAATAATTTGAAAAATCAATTAATAATGGTATCATACAAAAAAAGAATTTAATTATTGATTGAAATTTTAATTAAGTTTTATTCAAATAAGATGAATAAATTTACATTTGGTAAAAAATATTTGTAATTTTTCAGCGTATGGTCTGGGATGTATGGGAAGAATATGTCAAAGTGATGAAACAAACAAACTGATTAAATGCGATGGCGAATTTTGTGGTCATTACAAAAGTAAAAGGTATAAAATTGCTTAAGGATGGATTAATGAGAAATTATGCAGAATGAAAATTATTTTTATTTTATAAAATATGAATCAATTTACCAAACAAATTTGCAATGACTACTCTGTAATATAACATTACTTTTAACCCTATTTTCAAACGTGTGAAGAAAGATTATTTACAATAACATTAAGATTTTGGTTTTTATTATTATTATTATTATTATTATTATTATTATTATTATTATTATTAATAGTATGATAATTATTATACAATATTGTACACGCAAAACAAAAAAGAAAAAAGTTTATAATTAAAATTTATTTATGTATGAAATATAAACATACTTTTTTACTTTGTATACTTTTTTCTCAAATATATTAATCATTGAAGGTTTCCGATCAATCGACTGCAAAAACTAGCAAATTTTCAAATAGCTTTTTAAATTATTATTATAATTTAAAATGATTTAATAATTTTAGACGTGATGGATTATTACTTGAAGCGGTTGATATAGAATGTTCACCACAAAGTGAAGTTTATGCGCCATTTGATGGTGATCTTTACTTCTGGAAACCATTTGGTAACCACGTAAATTACGAATGCGCTGATGAAGGTGTACGAATTGAAGGAATAGGTCAATGGCAAGGTGTGCTAATTGTTTTTTTTTCAAATATGCAATTTCATAAATCAAAATATTTACAAATATTTTGAAATTAAAATTAAATTTGATCTAAACGAGTAATTTTATGAATCAAAATATTTGCAAATAACTTATGTAAAAATTAAATTACAATGTAAAGTTAAAATTAAATTACATTACTTATAATTTAATTATTTTAATTCACTTTTTTTTAAGAAAAAATACTTGAAAACAAGATAGTTCTGTATTACCTTAATAATGTCTATAACTTTTAAATCGATAAATATGTTATAGCATTGTTTATCATTATAAGCTTTGAAATAAATTAATGATTAACAAATATGAACAATTAGTATTAATTAATTTGATATTTTTCAATGAATATTTAGTCGAATTATTAAAATCAAATTTAATTAATTAAGAGATGAAGAAAAAAAATGATTGAATGAAAATTGCAGTTGTTGCATAATAGCTATTAAACAAATTCATTACAATTAGTTATTAATTTTGAAATATTTCAATTAAGGCTATCATGTATTGATCGCATCGATAACATTAGATGTTTTTGGTGGAAGAGTTAAAAAAGGTGAACGAATTGGAATTGCAAAAGATCATCGATGCATATATGCGGATGATGACGGTGATCCATTTGTTAGATTACAATTGTTTAAACAAGGACGACCAATTGATCCAACATTTCATCTTTGGAATTGTAACTTTTTCAATTATTTCAATTGGATTATTACAAGAAATTGATAGTATGGACAATATTATATTTTTGGTTTTTTTTTTTTTTTCTGTTGCAAATAAAACATAAAAATATAACTTAATAAAATTTAACAAAGTTAGCAAAATTTAGTTGTAAAAGTGATTGTACATATTTAAATGCCTAATATTTTAACTAAGATGAAAATTTAAATTGTTATCAATCGAATGACATATGAGCAATTACAAGCTATATTTAATATAAGTTGAAAGAAAAAAAAAAAGATATCATATAGATTGGATTTAAACTGATGCATGGTTAAATTTAAATTAAAAAAAAAACTATTTTAACAGGTATGTGTACTGGTCAAATTTGTGAATCAAATCCTAAAAATGAATTATTAGGTTTGCCATTCAAATATGACAGGTTTGTTCTTTTCTTCCAGTATATTTCTTCCAAACACTTTTTTTTTTTAATTTTCAAGAGATCGCATTTGTTATTGTTTGAAAATTATATATATATATTAGTTAGAATTATTATCAGATTATCTTTGCAATGTTAAATTTTATCATTATCTTTTCTTTAGTCGATATAATGCAGTACGTGGTTGGGATATTAAATGTCCAAAAATACGGGGCGATGATGAAGAGGTAATTTTTTTTTCACATTGTTCTAATTAAAATTTAATCAATCAAATTAAAATATTTGATCACTATTGTAATAAATTAGAAAATATGTAAAAAATAAGTTTAATTTTTTTTAAAAAAGTAAATTTAATCAAAAAAAATTTTTTTGTATCATTCTAAAACTATTCGATTGAGTGTGTTAAAAAATAGCATTACATGCGACTTATTGAAGTTATTTAGTATATGTTCATCAGAATGAATTTTTAAAAAATTATTGCAATTTAAACAAAAATTTTTTTTTGTATTATTTTAATTATAAAATTTAATCAATTAGATAAAAATAAATTATCTAATGATTGATTATTTCATATTCATATTTCATTTCTTTTTCCTTTTTTTTAATCTAATTTTTTTTTAAAAAAAAAAAAAACCTTAACACTTTTTTTTTGCAGGAAATGCGTGTTCCAGATATTTATTCACCAATTGATGCTAAAATTATTGGAAGAAGTCGCTTATATGCTATTCAGGGTGTTTATACTGGTTGTGATAATAATGGTGTGGTATTGATTGGTACTGGTGATTGGACTGGTTCGTAAATTTTTCATTGAATATTTTTTTTATTAAAAAATTTTTTACAACCATTCAATTATTTCTTGTTTTTTTTTTTTTTTTTTTTTTTTTTTTTTTTTATTCTTGTTTTTATTAATTTACAAAATCTTTTTATATCAGATTATGAAGTTGTGCTATATAATGTTCGTTATCGAGATGGACTATTAGGATCACAACATGTCCTACAAGGTGAACCAATTGCAACACGACTTGACTGTGAAGACTCACCTGATTCAGTATTCATGGAGGTTAACTTAGCACATTTCATTTTAGTATTTATAAGCATATACACCAGATTGCTTTACCTTACAGATGTAAGAATACTTATAAGTATATATGTCACATTACTTAATATAATTTAATAAAATAATACATATTAATTAAATGTAATTATTCATTCAAATAAATATAAGGTTTTTGTTTCATTGTAGAAATTTTATTGTGCTATATCTTTTTTTTTCTTCTATTTAACTAAGCATTATTATATTGTAATTAACTAAATCAACTTTTCATTTAATTACTAATCTTTTAATCATGATAAAATTTCAAAAAAAGGAAAAAAAAAAGAAAATTGATATTTTGTAGTATTATTGTTTAAAAATTCTTTCAGGTTCGTTATCGCGGTGTTGTTGTGGACATAAGCGAATTAATCTCAGCAAAACGTTGTCGTATGCCAGATTTTACACCTAAATAAAAATATATTTATTGAAAAATTGTTGCTTATTTATAATTTCTCATTTATATTTATTTGTTGCAATTTTAATCGATTCACTTCGATCATTTTTACCGATTTTTTTTTTTCATTTCTTTTTTAGCTTATTGCTTTTTAATTATTAAAATATTTGTGCCTCTTTTTACTATAAAGATAAATAACTGGTTAAGATTACTTGAAAATATTTGGGAGAAAAAATTTTTACAAATAGATCACTACCAGAATTTTTCATGCATATATTTTATTCAGTTTGTTATGGAATGAGAATATATATATATAAAGATGCAATGCAAATTATTGATCACAACAATCCGTGAAATTTTATGTAAATCCACTAAACACTTATGTTATTTTGCTAGAATAATTTGCTTATGATCGGAGTTGATGTCGTTAATATGAAATTCGGAAGGAATTCAGGAGAGTGATAGTGATAAGCAAGTCGAAAAAATTTCTGATGCCTGAGATCGCTTCCTTAAATGATAAATCTTTGATAGCTGATACCTTTATTTGAAATCATAATATTTGCAGTTTGAAAATCATTTTAGTTTCAATCAAAAAGCAGCAATAAATACCTCACTGGTTATTATCAATTCTCGATTAAACGTTAATATGAAAAGTTATTTGTCTGATTTTTTATATTTTTTTTAAATTCGTTTTTTTTTCCTCGAGTCTTGACGGGAAAATAATATTTGATTAATTTGTAATCTTTCGAATGATAATGATAATGGTGGTAATGATAAGACAACGTAGGAATGAAATTGAATAATTGATTTTATTTTTGAATGATGCAAAATTGACTATCAAATAGGATAAACAGAATGAAATTACTTATTTGCACTTCAATTAATGAAAAGCAATCTGATCAGTTGTTTAGGATTCATTTATTAATCATCAAGTAGTGGAATAGATTCAGGTTTATTTTTCGAAAAATTTTCAGGATTAAACGTATGGTAGTTGCCAGTTCATTTTCAAGATCAAATGTATAAGGTGTATTGTGTTGTTGTTGATTCTCTTCATATTATTAATTTAAGTGATAGAATAGATTCGATGCAAAATGGTGGACAAATAAGTCAACAAAAACAACAAAGTGTGAAAAAATTATTGGAATGGAAAGGTCGAAATTGGTATGGAATGACGGAAATTCTCCCATATTTATATTTGGGTGGTTTACGTGATGCTAATGATGTGGAACAATTGCGAGAAAAACAGGTTTACTATTTTTTACTTCTAGTTATGCATGATATTTATTTAATCTGTTATGCAACTACATGCACTTTAATTAGGTTTACTTGTTGATTTAGTGCAAGTTTTTTTCCTTGTTTTTGTTATATTTTTTATACACTGTTACTTCGATTAATGCTTTACATGAATTTTAATTTCATATCTTTTACTATTTTAATTGATATATAGATAATGTAAATTAGATTAGATGATATTCTTAGTTGTATTGCATCAAATGTACAAATAGAAAAACATTATAGGATTTGTTGTAGACTAAAGAGAAGTTAATTTTTGTCTTTCTACATTAAAAAATATTTGTATATATGTAACATAATATAATTGTGTTTATGCTATTTTAAGCATAGATTTACTTAATGTTATTTGCTTATGATTAGATCGATTACATTGTGTCCATACATGAGTTGAGCGGGCGTATTGGTAGCACTATAGATGATCGAAATATTTTACGTATACATATAGCGGATGTGCCTGAAGCAAATATTAGCGAATATTTTATGGAAACTACTACGTTTATCCATCGTGCTCGCTTAGCAAAAAGTAAGTAAATTAAAATTGGAAGTTATGTCAGTCATTTTTCATCAAATCTTTTTTTAAAAAACAGGAGCAAAATTGTTTTATACTGTTGTTTTTATTTATATTTTTTGCAAATATTCATTGATATTTTAATGTCTTTTTGGTTATAATGGTTTGACATTTCTAATGATTTCTTTTTGGTGGAAAACAGTTAAGCTAGTTTTCAGAATCAGTTCTCGTGCACTGTATTGCTGGAGTTAGCCGTAGTGTATGTATTATTGCAGCTTATCTTATTACAGTTTGCGATATGAGTTATGCTGCTGCTTTGGCATATATCGTTAATAAACGACCCTGTGCTAATCCAAACTTCGGATTTCGCATGCAACTTACAAAATACGCAGGAAAAGTTGGCAACTTTTTTTTATTTGCATAAAAAATATATGTAATTTGCACGCATTCTTTGTGTATTTTTTTTTTATATCATCTTAAAACCATTATCAATAAAGACATATTTGCAGAGAAGTTTCTCAGAAGTAATGATGAGGAGTCAGTTTGATAATGAAGCATTTGATGAATTGAAGGCAAGTGATAAAAAAATGCTGTTGTTGAATTTTCCTTCAAATTTTCCACCGGATGCTCCAAATGAATCTGCCATATGCGTGGATACTAAACTTCCATCTTCTAATACCTCCTTAAAAAGTATTCGTTTATTTCATTTAAATTTAAATTTGAAAAAAAAAATAGTATGTTCATATTAAAATTAAAACTGGTATGGAATATGATCGAATGGGTTTCGACAAAGGCTTTTATGTGTGAAAATTATAGTTTTGGTTCCTGTAGTTATGTTTTGCAGGTAAAATTTGATTTAAATACTTTATGAGAATGCTCAATTGGTAATAAATTGCAGAAGGATGTGTCGAATATATGAAACGTCAGAATAATCCAGAGATTTTTAATGACGCGAATATAAGTTTCATTGACCAGTAGTGCATTTGTTATTCATTGACCAATAGTGCATTTGTTCCATGTATGTTTGGTTTATTATTCCATAATTTAAGGTACAGCTGATTATCTCAAAATCCGACTTCAGCAGCTCATTGTATAGTATGAGAATGGTAATGATAATGATAAATCAAGGAAGCACACGTTTACTAATGATAATTACCTTAATCATGAGCTGCTGATGTCTAGCTAATCAATTTTGCCCGTAGCTTTTTAATTTTCAGATATCTCAATAGATACTTATGGTAGAAGACATTTTAAATCAGTGATTTATTATGTGGGAATATTATATGTTGATTATTAAAAAATCAATTGTGATCAGTTATTATAAGACATTTGTAGTTACGGAACCTCAATTTATTGGCACAATTTGTATTGCAGGATTATATAATTCAATATTTTTACTGTCCATCATACAGGAATACTCGCATAAATGCGAGACCGGTGATCTTCAAAAATATTGTAGCCTTTCAACAATGCAATGTGAAGAAAAATTGATTGTATTTCTGGTGCTAATTCTTACCAGTGAAAAATCTCATAAATTCCTTTTTATTATGCTTCATTTTAAATCATTTAACAAAAAATTTTGAAAAGTGATAAATTTGATAAAAAGATTGATATTTGCTTATGTATTGCACTTCATTTCCATTTTGACCTTTATTTTTGAAGCTAAGAATTCTGTGTTAAAACCGATCTCGAAAATTTTTGTATTAGAAGGAGGCAGTTCATAATGCTAGACATAGAGAATTCTGCATTAGAAATAGTCCAATATTTTACATTGAAGACAGATAGTCCAGAATTTTGCATTAAAAGAAAGTCCAGAACTGTGTATAAAAAGAGGAAGAGGATTCTATAGATTGTCCGAAATTTTATTTTAAAAAGACTAATAAAAAGCCTCTTTAAAATTTCGAATTCTCACCTTTCTTTTTTAAATATAGACCATTGCGTTCTGTTTTTAATGTAGAATTCTAGATAGTCTGTAACATTCTGAATTATCTGCTTAATGCAAAATTCTAGGCTCTTTTCAACATAGAATTCTGTGTGTGTGTATGTTAAATATTTCTTTCTTTTAAACCTATTAATTCATTAAAATGTACTCATTAAAATTCCGCTCTTTTATCCTTTTTTTTTTGCTTTGAAAAAGGAAACACATTTGCAAACTCCAAAGATAGCAACTAAGCAAATTTTAAATAAATTTAAATTGTGATGAAAAATATTACTATGAAATTAAATAAGCTTTTAATGTTTCTATACAGAGAACCAGAAGAAAAATTGCACAGGGACAACAATTCATTATAATTTATGAGTATATTGCGCTCGAACGTTAAGTCATTGAATGCAAAATATAAAAAATTAAAATAATTGACATTAGCGCATGAAATACAAATAATATTTATGCATCAAATATGTCAAAACTAATTTCTACGCAATAATCCATTAATCCATTAAAATTAAAAATATTTTATATTCAATTATATCTTTCATATGCAAAAAAAAAAAAAAAACAAACAAAATCAGATTGTGTCATACTGGTATGGGTGACAAGATAGCACTATTGTTATAATGAGTTTGAAAAAATTATAAGAAATAAATACCCATACAAACACTGGTTAAATCGCTAGTGAGTCATTTTCGAGTCTGAAAATATTCATATTTTAGCCAAATTTTTGATAATACAACAATTTTGTTCTGTTTATTAAGAAATAGTATAAGTAATAAGATACATTCAATAAATGTTGATGGAAAAACATTATGGCATGCATTTGTTTTAAACCAATTCAATGAAAATAAAATTTTTCCAGAACTGATAGTTTCCTTAGACAATATCATCTGAATAACGATAATGTTGCACTATTGCAACAGTAATTGCAACAACAATAAAGTATACCTTAGGTATTTGAATAATTGCAAAAATGTGAAAAAAAAAAGAAGTTTTTTTCGCCTTCTGTATATTTATCATAAACTGATGACAACATATGATATTGTTTTCAAATATTTCTTTATAAAATAATTTTTTGTGTATAAAAGAGAAGAAAAAAGAATTGAATACTGCAGATTTGTTCAAGAAAACAAAATTATATTAAATAATCTTTAAGAAATTTTTGAAAATAAAGGATGAAATTATGCGATAAAATAAATTCATTAAAAATAATAAAAATAACACCAACAATTAACAGCGAAGCAAATGCCGGTGGGTAAGTAATAGGGATCCAATGTAGCACAGTTGAAAATAATTTTTATAAGAAATGCAAGAATGTTTTATGTTGCAATGTTTTACATGACATATTTAAAGGCAGAAAATTTTTTATGTAAAGCCAAAAATGAAATATTTGAAAAAGAAGAAAAAGTTGAAAATGAATATTTAAAATAGAATATTATTTAAGAAATCAGCAAAATGAATATCGGAACTGGAAAATATTTCAGACCAAGAAAGAAATATACTCTTATGTGTATTGCAGTTGAAAAAAATATTACTTTGGATGCGGTTTATTGATCTCGGGAAGATTTATTTGATGTAGATGTAAATGTGGAATATAATATATTTCCTTTGTTAACAAAAGCAACAGTACAAGTCGAGAAGATCTTTTTTGGTCGTCGTTGTACCTTTTTTCCGCAACATATATAAATGTATGTGTTATTGAAGCCGAGTAGTGGTGATGAATTCTTTGTTAGACTTTAAGAATAATCACAGTAATAATCTAAACAAAGAGGAAGGCAATTTAAGGTCTCAATATATATATATATATATATATATTTAGAAAGTTTACGGTAGAAACATAAGGAAACCATGTATAAAGGGTTACAGTATGAACCTAGGGTTGTAACAAAGATTTTAATGCCTTAAGTATTACTTGTAAAGGAACATGTTTCTACCGTTATTTTCTATTCTCATACTTTTATTTTTAGAATTTCGCGACATTAAAAGTCCGCTACACCCCCTCTCCGTCACCTAACGAGAATAGTAGATTTCGGATGGGAGGACTTGAATTATTCGCATTTTGTTGTTGTTTTAACCTTGCAATTACTAGTTCGTTGAGCTACCTCTTGTCCATCAGTTTTATTTATAGTATATTTCGATGTGGTTTGTCGTTTGATAAGAATTCCCTAACGGTCATTGAGGCACTACTAAAGATTTTCATTTCTTGATATTTGAGTAGAGCTTTGTCGATACACTTAGTTGATACTGTAATGTTATCAACATAAAGATTTTTCTAATCTCGTTGACGTAATTAGGTGATTACTCCAAATTGGACTCATTTAAATCGATAATGTTCAATATTATGTTCTGTTACTTTTGTCCCTTTGTGTCATTTAACCAAGGGAATCGTCTGCAATAACTCAAATTGTAAAAAGCTTTGTCATTGTCTGCTACTATTACAGTTTCCATTATTCGGGAACGAAGCAGTACTGCTACTAAATCGGCAAGAGTTATGGATTCTCGAAATATTCTTTCTGTTATCATTCAGAACACTTCTTCCTTTTGGTGTAGTTGCATTATAGACGACTCTAAGTTTGATTGTAGCATTGTTTGGAGTTATAACTTCATGTTGACATAGGTAATGAATAATACCAACCTGGTCCACCTCTGTATATACTTTCATATCTTCTCGATAATGTATGTGACATGTAACTGATCGCCAATCGTTTCGTCATATTTGAGAAGTAAACGATCATCTTTCTGAAGTCGTTTAATTAAAGATCTTAGACGATCAAAACACAATCCGAAATTGTCGTTCAACTTCATTCTGGATTCTTTCCATCCATCACCAAGCAACTTGGTATTTGCCATTGTTTTTTGTGATATTTTCTTTGAACCTTTCTAAAACTTATTCTTCACCATGTAGATTAAGTTGTTTTTGTATTTCTATAAATTCCAACTTCCAGAATCGACCAATCTCTCGAGTATCAATATTATTAGATGTAACAGTAATTTGATCTTCATTCTGAACGGAACGACATGTGCTACGTGTTACCATTTTGTTGAAACCCCTACTATTGTGTTAATTAAAGAATAGCCTGAATTTATGATTCGCGTTTCCCCTAAAGAGATAAAGAATGAGTCAATTCCGACAATTAACTCTGATTGTTTCCCACTACTAAAATCTCTTTCAATGGAAAATAAATTGAAATTTCTGATGCATCGTCTTTGTATGTTAAATCGTCGTCATATCTGCTTCTATAGTCTTTATTCCAATTTGCACTGTGATAAAAAGCGATTTTTAAGGGTTCCTATTATCGAACTCAGCGAATTTCACTTGCCCATAATCAGTGTTTTCTAGGTTCAATCGCCTTGCTGGTTTCTTCGTTATATTCGCTGCTTGAGCACCACTATCGAATAGAATTATGATTTTATTTGAAGCCTGTGGCATATCAAAATTAATTATTTTAACTTCTTTGCTAAAAAGCAAAACTCTGTCATTTCGTATCGAATGCTTTATAACTGGATTGATTACCTTTGCTGTCTTTGTATCTTCAGTTGGTCCCATTGATTGATTGATCATTATATTTAGTGTAGCATAATGCGATATTATGGTGACGTTTTGAATAGAAGCATACACGTTTACTTGTCTTTCAACTGATTGTCGTATGTCCTGGTTGAAGACAGTTTAGGCAGGCGTTGTTTTCTTTCAGTCGTTGCATTCTTCGTTCTAGATTAGGATAGGTTTGACATTCATTATCCCAGTGGTTCTTATTGCAAAAAGCACAAGGTCTTTGGATTTTGCTAATCTTCGTATTATCCTTTCTATGTGTTTGGGTGTCGTTATAATTAGAACCGAAATTTCGTACAGTAAAATATCGTTCATTAATTCGTAGACCAATTTTATTTTTAGATACATTTTGCTTTTTATGGTGTCAATGGATTGGCTTCTTGTAACTCCTTCTTTTCTTTGAATTTAGTTTTGCTAGAAATTGTCATAGCTTAGCTAATGACAGTATTTCTTGTTCCTCCTTTTGCAGATATACTCTGTCCAGAATGCAGACGGGCATTTATTTTAAATTAAAATCTAGAAAATATTTTCAATGATAATTTCAGTACTAATTCATCAATCCCTTCAAACAGAAGTAATTGCAACAGCACCATTTCAGTCTCAAACTTCCGGA